AAATAAATATGAGCTAAGAAAATGACCTTTATTTGTAAGGAACACTTCATATTCAACTAGAAGTATAATTTTATGGCAGGGCTAAAACAATAAAGAAAATTTCACACTCCCTCCAAATTCCTGCAAATAAAGGTCATGCTAGAAGTATAAAATATAAAAATTATTCATCTGCATATCTAAACCCAGTAAAAATAAAATCTTCTTCCAAACCTGGAGGAGGAAAATGAGCCCGAATGCACATTACGGCACATGAAGGCAAAGTCACCCTTATTTCTTTGCCCAAAATACCCCAGCACCAACGAACAAGTTGACGATATGCAACATGTCTATTCCGTTTGTGCTGGGGAATATCACGTAAATCGCCTCCGTAATATTGCCGATATTGAAACCAGGCCGTTTGAAGAACCCAGCGATTAGTGCACACCGCTAAGAAGCCAGGGTGCTGTGTGATGCACGAGGTCTCAGCCAAGCCATCAACTTCGACTGCTTCACGAAGTTTTGATTTTATTTGATCAATCTCCTGGCAACATATGCACTCTACTGGCCTATCCATGATTTGACAATGCTCGCACATGCACCTAAGAGTTTTAAAAAAAGACTAAGGSAGTGGAAAGAAGGGTAAAAGGCAATTTCTAACGTACCAGTTGCTGTTTCGAAATCTTTCATGGCGGCCATCGTCTTCGATCTCGTGGACTTCTTCTAAAGGTTCCCGTCTGCGGCCAAYGGGCTCAAACCGCCAAGGTAAAATAGAATTGGCCTCTCCKTCCCCTACAAGTACCTCTGAGCCATCGGAACTACTACTATCGCTACTGGAACTACTATTATTYGAACTTATACTACTGCAATCCTCCTCGCTAGCCATGTTTACTACAATGCCTCAAATGGGTTACACACGTGTGACGTAACGACATCACGTGACTGTTAATCGAGACGTTTCTTACGGAGGTCAGAAAAACCAATCTTTCCCCCGAAAAAAAACTATCAAAAACTGAAAGAACGAGCTTAAAAAGGTTTAATATATGTTAAAAAACATATAACCAACTTATTCAAAAAGACCTCTTTTTTTGCCGGGACGGGTCCTTTAACTCCATATCTCAACATATAGCGATATCAAAAACAAGCTATGCTCTCCTGGTTTATAACAGGCTATGCAAACACACACAAAGGTTTCTATGGATTAAATATATCATAAGATGTGACCGGACCATCCATGCTGTGACCAAAATGTGTCTGTTTTATCAAATTAAAGAGTTCATCTTATTAAAAAGTGTTTCAAATGCTCCAATCTAAACTGCATGCTAAATTGGCTCGCACAAGAAAGTATTCCAAGAAATACCTTATATAAACAGAATCAAAGAAAATGTCATGGTTACAAAGCTAGATAGAAATACACTAGTATCATATTAGTAAAGTTAGTGGCAATAAAAACTTACATAATATCAAAACTTACATGCAATCAAAACCAATATAAGTGCCTCATATTTGGAAGGGGGTCAGATCAATCGTTTTTATATTTTTAGAAATTGTTTTTCATAGAAGAGCATGCTTAATGTTTGAGTTCGACMGTTATACAGTGTTAAAAGTCAGTGTTTTTAACATTTAAGTTTGATATTGTTACATTGATGATAGAGTTGAGAGGGAAAAAGAGATTGAAGGAAAGGTTTTTTGAATTGTATTTTCTTAAAAATAAAGTTACATGTTACTGCTTGCTGGACATTGTTTTATTTAAGAAAGATGGAAGTTATCAAATGTACAAATGGCAGAGGTAGCTCGCTAAGTTACCTTAACAATCATATATAATTATTCATTAAAAATTTGAAAAAAAAGCTAAACAACCAATCAAGGAATTTGATTTGGGTCACATGTCCATATCTGTATATGAGCATACAGAATACCAACACAATGGTCTAGTAGTATGTCAAAAAAATACAGAATAAGYATTCTAAAATAGAAGATACGAACTTTGAAACAGTCGCTCAAAAATGTTTTCATGAACGCCATCTGATAATTTGTTTTTTCCCTACATTGCATACTATAAATTTTTCAATTAAAATTAAAAAGCCATGAAACCATTTTAAGCGACTACTGCTAAGTTCGTATATGAAGCCTTCTTTGACGTCATTTTCATTAACATATTGTAAGATTGAACCTTCATAACTCAAAGACGCAACACTGAAATGCAGGAATATTTCGCCATTCGATTATTTTGTTTTCTATAGAATCAGCTCACAAAGAATCAGAATTTTTTTGTCTGGCGTCATGGGTACTTTAAGTCCTCAAAAGAGGGCCTATGTCGCCTTCCTTTCAAAGGACAAAGCTTTTAAACCAAAGGAGATATGTCAGAAAGCAGGTGTATCAAGAGCGACGGTGTATAGAATAAAAAAAAGAGGAAAGATGACAAGGACAAGAAAGGAAGAGTCCCAAAAAGGGTAGACGCCCAAAGAAACTCAGCGCACGTGACAAGAGGAAGATATTACGATCGATGAAGTCCTTACGGAAAGAAGAAGGTAGTTTCTCTTTAAGTCGAATTACGACAACGGCTGGCTTGTGTTCTAGTAACGWTAGTAACAGGACTGCCAGGCGTTGCCTAAATAAGCATTGATATTTCAATGTTCAGGCAAGAAATAAAGTACTCTTATCACAGTCCGACTGCCAAAAACGGTTGAAATTTGCCAAAACAATCGGCTAATGTTTGAACTCATGAGATGGCATTCTACCTGGATGGAGTCAGTTTTACATACAAGAGGCGACCAAAGGACCAAGCACTAGCTCCACGTGGGCTAATGTTTGAACTCATGAGATGGCATTCTACCTGGATGGAGTCAGTTTTACATACAAGAGGCGACCAAAGGACCAAGCACTAGCTCCACGTGGACGCGTATGGCGTAAAAAGTCAGAGGGTCTGAAACGGGGTTGTACTAGTAAGGGGAGTAAGGAGGGGACTGGAGGAAAATTAGTCAAACTAATTGTGGCGACAAGTTACGACAAAGGCGTCATCGAAGTGTACGAATATGAACACCTTGATGGGCTTGCGTTTACTGCTTTTATAAAGGAGAGGTTTCCTGGTATGTTTGAGAGAGCGGGAAAAACACCACCAAGGTAATTTTTACAGGATAATGCTCCTAACCAGAACTCTGCTTGTGTTCGTGGAGCCCAACGACGAGCTATAGCAAAACAACTAGACTTCCCTCCTCGCTCAGGASACCTACTTCATAAACAAGCTGTACGTAGAGATATAAAATATAAAACTTATCATGATTTCAAGGCGCGCGTAACTGACACATTACGCAATTWTTCGATTGCCGAGCATAACAAAACCATCGAGTCCATGAATAACCGTTTAGACATGGTCATTGCCAACACAGGCGATCGAACGAAGTATCAAACGACATTTGTAAGTAAATCTATCCAATTTCATACAAAATTGCTAAACGTATATCATGTATGACTGTATTTACTAGTGTCACGCTTTTGTTTGATATGGATGSCGTGACAAACGTAGTAACGGCAACATTTTAAATATTAACTTCAACGAATAACAAAATAAACRCTGTTTTTGTGCTATTGGTAATTTCACATTTTAACTTGAAAAGCCTAGTGCATGATTACTATGTGAAGGGATAGGTATCATCGATTAACAGAACGATTTTTGCGACATTTGACGCTTAACAACGTTCTCAAGTTGTCGTATTAAGAAACTAACTATTGTAAACTAAGCATCTTCGTTGATCGTAAAAAATGCTCGTTAATCGGAGWGTTTAGACTTCTACTGAAAATATAAGTCGTGTTAATCGATGCATATTACTTTTAAGGTTCATCCGTGCKAGGTTTAGTTCAATATCAGCTTTGCAAAACATCTTGCACAATCCGGCACGTCGCGCTGCTGTTGACGCGAAATCTGACGGTTGAACTGAATTACTGTCCAGCSAACTCTCATCATTTCCGTCTCGCGCTCATCGATCATTCCATTCTTGATGCATTCTTGCTTGTGGAAAAAATGGGGATGTCCATATCAAATGCAATGTCTTTGGCTAAGTGTGTCTTTAGTGCGGGAAAATGTAACACGTGACCTTCTCAACACCTATCCATGCAAAMCTTCCCGTGGCAGGATTGTAGAACGTATTGTATATGCAGGTTAAAGGCTTTAAAATGACCATCAAGTTGCAGTATTTGCCTCTTCCTCCTACTCGTAATGCTCTCACAGGGACAGCGGAGCTATTTCTGTCAAAACKTAAAATCGTCGATGGATATCTTGCCAGATATTGTTCTTTCCACGATATTCAGTTATTTGGATGCTCCTGAAAGGATTTGTAAAGTAAGCCGAGTGTGTAAGAGGTGGTATAGCTTAGTCAATAGTTTGTCACAAGTTTGGAAGAGTGCTGATTTTGCTTATTGTAGTAAAATTACATCTGATGTGCTGACAAAATTTATTTATCCTGGAGCGACTATAGTTCTGCTGAATGAATGTTGTTATCTGGAATGGGAAGATCTTAAGTTAATCTTAAAGAAATGCAAAAATATTCACGTTGTGTCCTTGTCTTGGATTGCACAAAAATGTCAATTGGATATCACTGAACTCAGAATAAGTCAATTACGTTACTTGAATCTGAGCAGATGTTTGCTATCTGATAAACAATTTCATGAAATTTTGAAGTGCAAAAGCCTGTCAGTACTGATTTTTCAAGCTAGCAAAGGTATTTCACCTCAAATTATTGAATGTTGCCTATGTTCCTGAAGCTCTAGAGCTGTCCACTGTATGGCATCTTTTGCAACACAGTAATAATACTTTTAAATTAGATATCACAGATCACAAGTTGAGTGATGAAGATCTAGATACGATTGAACGGATTGACAGTACCACTTTCTCAAGGATTGTTGACATTGAAGATTATAGGCATTTGTTGTATTGCTGAACTGACGGTGAGAAAGAAAACCAAACTTACCTATTTTCATTCCATGTAAAAACTATACTGAGAAAGCATCACTAATGTCCAAAATAAATCCAATCAGYAACTATTTTTTATAAAGTAAGCAGGCAACCGGAAGTGCCAGCTACTACTGACGGACAGACATCTACAGCGTCTCAAGCCTCTCCTAAGTCTATCAATGTCCCTCAAATAGATCAACAGACATTATCAATGTCAAAAGACTCTACTGAATCTATCACTCTCCCTCAATTGCAAAATCAGAATGTTTCAGAGTCGAGTCAGGATATTTGTAAAGCAGCAAATTTAATTCAAACACCCAACCAGCCCATATCAAACTATTGGTGTCAAAGTTCTCTTTCTCGGTCTTCATTAAAGAGACTGGGGAAGAGCTTAGCGGCCAGGTCATATGGTTTTCCCCTTCGACAAAAGATGGCGGATCAGGTTTGGAGCTTCGAGTATATGTAATGCCTTTTTCGTATGTTTTTCTCTGTAAAAAAAATGTTTTTCTTCTCAAAAATGGGTACTAAGGTAGAATGATGACTGGTAAGTAGAATTTGTAACTTTTAAATAAAAAGTTATCGAGTTTTCTGCAGTTAATTATGGATAAAAGGTCTGAAAATTCGACATCAACTACATGTGGACTTTCCGTGTTCGTCTGGAAGAAGAAAACCCAAAGATAAGTATACATTTTTCCGTTTGTAATACTATATAGCGCATTTTTGCCGCCTATTTCCTTATAATCTAGATAATCTAGGCGGGATTTTTAACAGTTTTAAGCGGGACTTTAGTCAGTTAGGACAAGATGGCTGCTGTGTGCACAAGTCAATCGGCATTTATGTCGCATTTTTTCGTCGGGCCTCAAAATAAGATCCCGAAAATAGTACATTTTCAACAGGAAGTTTTACTTGAAACTCCAAGTGGAAGTTTTCTGAGCGAAATCAATGATTTACGGAGTTCAAAAGCAAAACTCACGACGGAGATCGAAACAATGCAGAAAAAGCTCGAAGCAGTGAAAAAGATGTGCCATGAGCTCCAAAATGAGCTAAAAAAAGAAAGGACTCCGTTCTTTAAAAGTAAAAAGAAATATTCAGAATTAGATTCCAAAACGAAGTGTCACAAAAGACAAAGAGTGAAAGTTTGGCTTTCAAAACAATTTAAAAAGCTTCCCTCCGAATGGAAAGTAACTGAGGTTTGTACATTGTGTGTATAACAGATATAAAGACTGTATTTTATCTAAACTTCCTGTTGTCATGATTTTATTTATCAGATGAATGTAATACTAGACGGTGAAGCACGCAGGCTTGATAAATTTAATGATGATGATGAGGAGGAATTGGAGGAAGAAGAAGAAAGCTCTGAGGCTCTGAGGATTCAAAAAGCACTTAAGGTAAACATGCATGTCTTACTTACAAGTAATTTCTTCAAAGTATAGTTTTGAAGTGATGTTTCATGAATAGAACTGACAAATAATGTAAATTTGTATAATATGCCAGGAATATTATTATTTGTTTGCTGTATTATTATAAGTAAGAAAGAGCTAAAATTTATTGTAGGCCAAAGATGACGTAGACATAAGCGATGTTGCCTACCATGAGTTAAAGCAACTCCCAGACTCCAATTTACCGACACTAAATAGCCTAAAAAAAGAAAGGAAAAGCCAAAACAGCATCATTCCAATACACGAGTGTAATCATGTAAGTATGCACATGGTCAAAAATGACTAGGATTAGATGAATTGTCATGAATTCTTTTTATTGTTTATAATAAAAGTGTCTTTTTTGTTCTAATAGGGTATTGTGAAAGGCTGTCGGCGTTCAATACGTGACATTATTGGCTATATGTCAAAGGACAATAATTTTAGGAATGCTGTTCAAGG